TTATATGAAAGCTGATACTTCTCGTGTGGTCCCATATGAATTTAATCAAGGTCAGACCAATAGTTTTACAGTGTAGGTAATAGATAATCTAACTTTTACTTATTCTACAATAACTCAGCTCCTAGATTGACAAATCTTGCCAGATTTTCAGCTATGAATAGTTTATATATATAAGCTTTCAAATGTTCCTACTTTCATCTTGTTAACATTTGGGCCCAAGAATGTATGGAGACGTCTCTTTCTCCTTTGTGACTTTCTTTTTCGAGTGTATAAGTGATCAAATTAATTAGTCTGCTGTAGTAAAGTTTGGGGGCATCGCATTTTAGGGGGCCTCGCGAGGCCCCTTTCAGTGTGTGGCCGTGGGTGAGGGCCCACTTCGCCCATGCCTAGCTACGCCGCTCTTACAATCATGTACGTAACACAATTAACAACACAAAATTAATTAGAAATAGCTTGATAGTGATCACCTTATTCCCAGGGGTTATTATCATCCATAAATTCCTTAATATTATAATAACCGTTTTTTATACAAACTTAGTTTATTAAAGTTTTTGAACTTTGAGCAGGTTTTGTATATTTTCTGGGATGTAAGTGTGTGAATATGATATATTAAGTTAATGCTCTCATTGAACAATACTAGCAATATTGTGAACACAATAAAATATGTTCTCAATTAGCGAGTAACTTTTTATGGGTGTAAGTGTTAATTTTTCTATTAAGTGGCTTAAAAAAGTATTTCTTAACGTTAAATTGTTGATTTTTACTTTAAAATAAATAAATACACATGACTATTACAATAACTGTTTTTCATTAACATGCATTACCTATCTGTATATGTATAAAAATGTACCAGATTTCAGTATACAATAAAAAAAATTACATGTCTGAGTAAGTTTCGGTTTCGGTTTCGGCCGAAACTGACACCCAGACCGAAGGTTCGTTTTCGGTTTTCGTTTCGGAGTTGTGGCCTCTGATGTGAATGTTGCTGTTTTTCAAATTCCGTGAATTATTTAATTATTATCTATACAAATAAATAAAATTGAAGTGTCTGTTTGTAATATCGAAATAACGGCTTTTTACTTTATGCAAATGAAAGTATATACGGTACTTATAACAAAAGACGATTTTTAAAAGTCTTTCTGTCTGTCTGTTTGTTCCGGCTAATCTCCGAAACAGCTGGACCAATTTTGACCGAACTTTCACTCGCAGATAGCTGATGTTATAAAAAGTAACTTAAGCTACTTTTATTTTAGAAAAAGTATTAGGATTCCGCGCAAATAATTAAAACCCATGAAATCCAATCGTAATAAATTACGCGCGGGCGAAGTCGCGGGGAACAGCTAGTTTGTAATATAGGATAACAATGAAAGCAATATTGTTGTTTTTTAAATCTTGCATCAAATAATATTGAACTAATGACCACCCGGCTAGTGACAGTAATTAGAAACAATATATCGAAAGCGCCGGTTACCGTAATTAAGAAGAATGGAATGTTTTAATGAGGGGTAGTGGACGTCTTGAATCCTTAAACCTCCGATCCTGAAGAGATAATGCTAGAAAGGACAGCTGCAATGGATCGGGTTTACTCCAAAACGTATTTTTGGGTAGGACCGTCATGCAAAACCACCATTTTGATGCCTGAGCCAAAACTGGCAACGGTGGGATGTTTAGGCTCTGGCTCAGACGAGCCAGAACTCTGGAATTCCTACTACTACTGTAAGATATTATACGTGGTTCGAATGATGTTTTTATCACAAAAACATTTTGCAGAGAAGTATACGATTTTAAAATATTTTTTTAATCATTTCTGATTATGTTAATCGAACCGTTCGTTATTTAAAAACGAAGTAAGGTTTGTTGATTGCAGTTTATGTTATGTATATATCAGAGAAACACAATCGTTTATTTAGTTTAACTAATAAATTCGCTACAATAATATTTTCTACGAATGCTGAAATTCCAGAAATATTTAAAAAAAGTCCGCGATCATTACTCATTTTATCTTAATGCTAAAGTCTATATTAGTTCTCACAACACATCAGCCTTAGAATTGTTACAATAAAAAGTATTTACTTGTTTTAAATGAATGTAACATACTTGTATTTGAAATTCTATTTTTCTGTTTCGTTGGCTTTTGGCAAATTACTTAAAATAAAGAATAAAAAAACTAAAATAACTCAAAGTATGCAAATTACAACACCTATTATGAAATATATTTGATTTCTTTTTTTAATTTTCATCGTAAAAAATACTTATCTTGCTGCAAAGAAGAACACGTTGCAGTGATAGATTTCACCAGAACACGATTTTGAGTTTATCACATTGCTATTTGTATCGATTTTTGCTTCACTTGGAAGATACTAGTGATGGCAAAAAATATAAAAACTGTTTTTAAACGTATTATACCACTAGGTATGTAATTGTTTACACCACAGTAAAATACATTAAGTAATATGCATTATGTAGTAGCGTATACGTACGTATACATTAGTAGTAAGAACATAGTATCATCATGTAAAATATACTGACCGACACAAAAAACGACTCACAATGATTTCTTTGCATAAATAATCTTGAAATAATATTTGTGTTTATTTTCGACTCAAAGACCCTACGCCTTACCCTAGCAATACTACATAACAGGGATATGACTGCTGTTGAAGTCAGGAATTGCCTTGCTGAAGTTCGAGATGTGTATGTAAGTGACAGGACTATCAGGGTATCAGGAGACGCCTCAATGAAACTGATATCACGGTCAGAAGACCTGCATATGGCCCAGAGCTTACCAGGCAGCATCGAGTCAGCAGACTTGCATTCGCACATGAACATGTGAATTGGGATATGGAACAGTGGAACCAAGTACTGTTCACAGATAAAACCAACTTTTGCTTACGAGGGTTGTTTGTCGCATATTCTTTGCCAAAGAATAACTTAAATAACACATAAGTGTTGTTGATAACAATAAGACATGATACGAAAAAAAATTCTAAGAGAATTAATTACTTAAAATTCAAAGTGAGTCGTTTTTTTGTGCCGGTCAGTGTATTTATAAGTTAAAAATGGGTCTTGTGTTATATAGACTTTGAAACCATCCAACCGATGTGCCCAAAACCGGTTTCATTAGAGGGGCAATAACGCGAAGATGGTTTAGACCACTAATACAATGCATTAGGCACTACATAAAAAGTTAATAAATAAACAAAATTTCCCATTTTTTTTTCAACAAATAAACAAAATGTATTTCTTTTTTTAGCGTAGTAGCACACGCCGGGTATTCGCAAGTGTTAAATAAATTGAAAATAACAACTTAAAATAATAGAAAAACCCGACCGCCAAGCATAATATATTTATACGTGGTAGAGCCATGCTGCAGCTATATTAGTAGTATAGGTTTACCACGAATGGGTCGGCTCGACCGGGGAAGTACCACGCTCTCACAGAATACCAGCGTAAAATGGCAGCGTAACACTAACGTAGAGAACCGGAGACCCTTTTTACTGGAAAAGAGGCATTCCATCTTAGTCCTCACGGATGACAACGCATCTGCATTTTGATTCGCAAACGAGGATAAATGTAGATGTCTATGGACCATAGCAACCACTTACATACAATAGTCCTTAAAACGTTTGTTAACAGACAGTCACCATGGATATTCCGAAGTTTTGATTTACTTCAAACGTAAAATAACATTAAATGGTTATAATTTTAACTCAAAATAACATTAACAATAAATGAAATGCGTTACGATAACTAATGAATATATACATATTAAAAAAATCACACCCATTTAAAATTATTCTATTTTAAACAGTTATTTAATTTAACACTTTATAATTCAATGCTGAGGAATGACAACAACATTATAAATTATTATCAATAAATTAATCCGTATCTACAATGTCTTAATTAAAAAAAAGTAACAAAAATGGGTTTTGGCATCATACTTATCTATAAATACTTTTCTTAAAACTGTATATATAAATTTTCAATCCAATTTAAATCTAGAATTGTATTAATATTAAAGTAAAAGATTACACGAAATATGTCGTTGTAAGTGTGAATTTCATATTAAAAACTGAAAATAGAAACAAATGATATCTGTGGAAAATCGTAGCTTATATTGCAAATACTAATGTAAGTCCTATGGAAGAGTAGTCTCCTAACACAAGTTTTTATACTTAAAGGGATACCCCACCCTCGGTTATAATTAATGTATGATCATTTACTGAATAAACTATTTTTATTTTTATTGCAAATTGATTAATTTATAGTTTATACTTGCCGTATACTTACTTTCTGAAACAGAATATTGTTTACTTAGAGCATTCTTAAATTGATATGATTACTCACGTTTGGATTGTCAAAAATGCAAGCTTTACAAGTTAAATATGAAAATTATTAAAACTTTTTGATAATGTAAAATAGGTGTATATTATATTAGTATATAAATTATCGTATTTTTATAACATCGTGCTAAAATATTCAATATTTACATGTTAAAATTAAATTCATACTATATACATGATACTACCACATGAGAAAAATAACCAACTCCTTACTCTGTGATACTACATCACTGCTTTTGGGGTTAAGTTTAAATCACTTTATTTATTTGATACTAGCTGTTCCCCGCGACTTCGTTCGCGTGTTAGTGTTTTTATGTTTCTGCGCGGAACCCTGATTCTTTTTCTAAAATAAAAGTAGCCTATTTTACTCCTTATGAAATCAGCTATCTGCCAGTGAAAGTCCCGTCAAAATCGATCCAGCCGTTTCGGAGATTACCCGGAACAAACAGACAGACAGACAGACAGACAGACAAAAATTTTAAAAATTGTATTTTAGTTATAGGTATCGTATTTACTTTCATATGCATTTAGTAAAAAACTGTAATTTTGACATTACAAACAGACACTTCAATTTTATTTATTTGTATAGATTTCATCAATACCTATAAATATTTTTTTTATCTTATAAGATATTATAAAAAGGTCCACAAGTAACTATTTATACGGAGGTGGAGGTTGATTAATGATGACTGAAGGGGTGTGTTGAGCAGGAACTTGAATTACATGATGATGAACGACAGTGCGCGGGGGCTCTTTACAGCAGTCGCAGCACAAGCCCGGGATACAGCAGCAACAACAAGGACGGCACGAGATGGTACAACCCATCCTGAAATATAACAATTCAAGTTTAAAAAACTGTGAATAAAACTTTAGGATAGTGGAAAATGTTAGGGTACAAAAAATATTTTAAAAATATATTGCTTAAATTAATCTTCTAGTCGCATTCCAGGTCTAATTGGCACGCCCCGTGCTTTGTCGTAAACATTTTAAATTTTTAAACATTTGCCTAAAGATGAGGCAAAATTGATTTGATTTTTAATTAAAAATTTAGTAAAAACAATAGAAAAATGTTGAGGTTTTAGTATGCCTATCTATTTATGTTGAAAACAAAGATCAGACAGAATCCAGAGATACGACTTATTACGAGTGAGTATCTACAAAAATATGACCACTAAAACGCGCAGATAAGAAAATAAAATTTTAAACAACCAAAACTACAACAAATAACGTAATGATTGTTTCGTACAACAGTCACAAATTCTATGAAAATCAAGGCAATATACATGAATACGTCGAACATACAAGAAAATTGTTTTCGGTTCTCATAAGTCGTCGATTGATCCCGTGTATTAACATTGTACCCCAGTATACCTCCTATCTTATCGCATAAGCGTTACATCCGATACAGATAATGTAAGATAAGTGAACGCTTCTTTGTTTACGACTACACTTGTCTTGTGGCATTATTAATGTATCCTGACCAAGTAATAACTATACATGGAATATAGCGGATATCATTTTGTTAGGAGTACGCTGATGTCCACGTAGCTGCTTAAGTTAGATTACCGGACTAATTAGTTGCACGTCCTAGTTTTAATCCCGGTTGGAAGAACAATTATGCACGAAATTTCTGCGTAGAATTTTTGTGTGCATTTTCGAGTCTGTATATTGTAATCGTTCCTGAGTGTATGACATTGAATCTAAGCATTGCTTAGATAAATCACTCAAGCGTTACAACGGACATCGGTATAGGTTATAAAAAATAGTGTCATTTTTTACGCATATACTTGCGGCATTATAATATTATGTTCTGCTTCTATTTGAAGAATTGGTACTTCGCATAATATATAGAAGTTGTAGCAGATATTGGTCAAGGAGCAACAGTACGTTTTATACGTGGTAGTGCCATGCTGCAGCTATATTAGTAGTATAGTTATAGCACGAATGGGTCGGCTCGACCGGGGAAGGACCACGCTCTCACAGAATACCAGCGTAAAATAGCAGCTTAAAACTGCTGTGTTTCGTATGGTGAGTGTAGAGAACCGGATACCCTTTTTACTGGAAAAGAGGCATTCCATCTTAGTCCTCGCGGGTGACAACGCATCTGCATTTTGATTCGCAAACGAGGATGGATGTAGATTCCACAGCAACCACTTACCATCAGGTGGACTGTGTGCTCGTTTGTCACCATATCTTATAAAAAAAAAGTACTATCACCATTATCGCATTATACGCGTAGTACTGCCGGTTATTATGGGGTAACGTGGGCACAACACTATATGCTAAGAATGGATATGTGCAAAAGTAAACCACATACCTAGTAAACGTATGTAAAACATTCTAAATTAAAACATTTGAAAATTTTGCACACCATTTCAACGTTTTGTATTCATTTGTGTAACTGATACATAAATAATGTTGTGCACTAATTAATTCAAGTTTAAAGTAAAACTCATTTACTTAGTAACGACTTTTGAACAGGTTATGTAATTAAGAAATAATAATTTTCTGGGAAAAATAAGATCCATTATAAGTTTAGTATAGTGGCTATATTGTTTTCGTTCGAAAATATGTCTTTTTTTTAATAAATGTTTGATTTAGTAAATATTGTGATTTTTTTATTTGTACTTAATACTGCAATTGACTTTATTATTTTACGACAAAAATTATATTATTTCCGAGGTCAAGAGAAAACAATCATTGCTGTTATTTTTGTTTAATTTCTCGTTGCGTGTTTAAAACAATTTTATGATAACGTTTCTATTTAGTTATTTGAAATTGGTACAAAATTTTAATGTACTTATAACCAAAGTGAATTTTAATTAAAGTATGTAGCAGTTATTAATTAATTTTTAAAGCGTTTCTATGACGTGGTCGTCCACTTCGGGGAATTAAAAGTTACTCACCTTTATAAATTATCTGGCTTGAGGATAAGGATATACAGGCTGTTGTGGCGGGTATCCTGGATATCCTGGGTATCCACCTTGCGGCGGCGGTGGGTACGGGTAGCCTGGCGGAGGCGGTGGTGGCTGTTCAATGACTACTGGTGGATGGTGAACGACCACTGTCTGAGGCGGTTGTTGTTGCCCACACGCGTTTGGACAAAGGCAAGGAACCAGGCAGCAGGCGCTCAAAGCCATACAGCAGGGGTTGCAGCAAATGTCACAGTCGCCGCAGTCGAACGAAAAACAGATACCCATCGTAGAGTTATTAATTCCTTTAAGTAGAAAATAGAAACGCTGTAATCAAAATCGTCCTACAAAAGGCTTTATATCTGAGAATGTAATCGGTGTTGATTTATACCCGGCTTGAGAATTTTTTACCTTAACTATTACGAAATAAATGCTACATTTGTTTCTACACAGAGTGTGTCACTGACTAAATTATCATTGGTTGCCGATGCTTTATCTTATTGACAATAGTTACAACTTCGTGTGACAAAACACACGTTGTTTCGCGAACACCTCTTCTGCACATTCGTCAACCGCTGATAAATGATAATGTGCCCAAACGCAATTACTAGTTTCATTATCGTCTTGGTAAATTACCTAGATCATTTTTGCATACCACTAAAGTAACAATAGAGTTAATATTTCACGATGGTAAAAGGCTACTCTCCAGCCCATGGATGGTCACATATAACCAAATTCAAACACAGAATGTCGCGGTAACGTTGTCATTTGTCATCCCTGAGAACTAAGATGAAATACTTCACAGCCTATAACTATACTGGCTCACATTACCCATCAAATCGGTACACAGCAGTGGGTTTGTGCAGCCACGCAGACGTTCTCCTAGAGAGAAAGAAACCCTACCTACCTACTAATATATAATTACCATACTTGCTATTTTATAGCCAGATACAATTTTTGAACGCGTTTGTTATTTGCAAATATATTATGAAAACTAGCTGTGCCCGCGGCGTAGCTCGCGTATATAGATTTTACATAAAGAATTTGTCGTTTAGGTAAGAGAATATTAAACGATTTATTTCATTACTGTATCAATAAGTGGTAACAAATAAATCATTATCATCAAAGTTCTAAGTAGTTTATGATAGAGCTTCTGTGTAAACGACGTTAGAAGTAGACTTAGACGGGGTGTACACAAAAAGGTTACGGGGGCTACTAACGCGGGAAAAAGCAACATAGAGTTGGCCATGTGAAAAACAGTCAGTACTGAGGTCCACTCTTACAACGCGTAAATTTTGACCTTGCGCTTTATTTACATAAAGATATTGCATAACACACGCTGACTGTAACTGGGAACTGAACGCGCTTAAAACTGAAAGGAAAAGTTACTTCTTAATAGAGGGTTTTTTGGCAGTGCTGCCAGATCAAAAAAACTCATTCAGCGCTAGGACAACACAAAAAGCGCTAGATTTAATGAAAACAGCACTTTAAAAAAGCCCTAGATTTCGCGCTAAATTAACTACAAACAAAGTTTGTGTTTTTTATTATAATTTATAATTCAAGAAAATATAATCATAATAAAGAAAACAACTTTAAGTTTTTTTCTGGCAATATTTTTTGATGTATCAATACTTCGCAGGACATCGACTTATAGCAATTGCTGTCAACAGTAGTTAGGATTACTCTAATTAACTTTTAACTTAGCTGTGCTCTAAACAACTGACTAAAACTGAATAAAGCAAAATAAATGCGTTGCCAAAACCATGAACGAAAACTTTAATGAAGGGGATTTCCCCGCTTATAGTCGTCGATAAAAAAAATCAAGTTGATCATCCTAAAGGGGAAGCCGGGAGATCCATAGCACAGGGTATCCTAGTTTGGACTCGTCTCCCATGCTCTTTGTTTTGTGGAAAAAATATGTTTGAAAAAGATAAACTGCAATGTACTATTTGTGGAAAAAAATAATAAAGGTCATTATTATTATTATCGGTAATGTGGACTAACAGTGCTGCTATAAAAGAGTTAATAACCCGCTAGTCGCTACAATTTTGAAATGTGTGCTAAATACACCAAAAAGCGCTGGATTAAGTGCTAGGTGCTAAAATTTCGAAATCCGCGCTATACATTCCAAAAAAGCGCTAAATCTAGTTCCCAAAGCGCTAAAATGGCAGTACTGATTTTGCGTATAATATTATAAATACAATAGCACGACATTTCGTTGCAATTTTGTTATTTTTGTTCGGGTTCCGTTGTATGGCTTCGATTAATACAAATTTCTTCAGTAAGTCTCAATACGATAAATCTCAACACAGCAAATCAGAAAAGTTTGTAATTTGTACAACTCCATCTATTACGTCCTTTGTGTGAGAAAACATCCTTTTTTAAATCTCTTTTTATGTTTTAAGTATAAATAATTAATTATTATGGAACGTTTTTTTTACACACAAATCTTTTTATTACTATTTCTGAGATTTTTATGGCGCCATTGAACAAATTCGAACCTACATTTTAAAATAATAATCATTACTTTCGATAGAATTAACCAATTTTAATAAAACAAAGATTAAATGTAACTTGAAGATACGCTTTATGGTTTTCTTAACGATTTCTTTGAAAAAAAAAAGATGTTTACTTTAGACTTTTACTTTTTAATTCTAAAAATTATAAAATTGTACTTATTTAATTATTTTTAGTTCCCCATAGTGATTTTAGTCACCAAAATATATATACAATGTACAGAAAGAGACATAACATGTTATCATCATTTTTATTATATGTATATATTTAATTAAAGAGAGATGGCGCTGCTAACATCAACTTGATGACTCAAACAAAGCCACCGTTGAGCAAATTCCCTACCCATACTTCAGAATATTTATCATAACTTTTGATGGAATGAACCGATTTTAATGAAATAAATACTAAATGTAACCCGAAGGTACACTTTAGAATTTCCTTAACAATTCTTATGATATAAATTCGTATTTTAAACGTGATACGTTAACAAACAAACAGACAGACAGACAGACAGACAGACAGACAGAAAATTCTAAAAATGGTAGAAATGTATTTAATTACTTATTTTTAGTACCCCTCAATCACTTTTATTACAAAAATATAAAATGTACAGACATCTGCTATTTACAGTTTTATTATATGTATAGATAAAGGAAAAAATGTTGCAAGCAATATATATATATATACGTATGTTTATAGTGTTCTTTATCATTAATTACTGGGAAGTAGGTAAAATAGAGGATTATTTCTAATAGATAAAATTGTTTATAATGAAGATAAATAAAATACCAAAAAGGTGCCTTTTGCGTTGTAGAGAGGATAACGTGTACAGAGTAGACAAAGAACGTAGACTCATTCTCTGGATAATGTTAAGCAAATAGCAACACTATAGTACTGACTTAGAGTATAAATATGTACTATCATACCACCCACAAACACATTACAATTGTTAATTATGGCTAATTTTTCACTAGTCAAGTCAAAGTTATCAGTTAGTAAAAATTATAACTTGACTGAATATAACAGTGAAACAATTGAACTATTTATGAAGATTCTAGCTACCATGTATAGCTCAGGTGAAAACACAAACTAATGATTTTGATGATGGCCTAAATTTAAAAACATCTTAGGGCCTAAAACGCGTATATTTGGACCGTGTAGGAGCGGCATAAGACAATCTACTACCCCATAACATCCCATGGGTGTCGTAAGAGGTTACAGAATAAGATGAAACAGGAATAATAAAAATCCGCGGTTGCGAACCCGACTACCAAGCGTGGTAAGTGGGAACAATGGCTGATATTCCCCTATAAAGCGTTCTATGGGGAGACCTATGTTCAGCAGTGGATTTTCTGTAATGAAGTTCTTCTGTCAGGGTAGGTAAGGGTTCCATTAAGGATTGTTTACTTTGACATCATACCATAAGCTAAGAATCCGATCCTTCAATGTTATTTTTAAGCCAAATTACAAAATGTAAGTGTACTCACTATCGCGTCGATCGCAGTTTAAAATCAAATATGAATTATTAGAAATCGGTCGGATAACAAAAATGGTTACTACCCCACTTCCAATAAATTCTAGCATGTCTATTCATGGATAAATTTAAAGGAATGCAAAAACTGATTTAAATTCTCCTGTTATAGGTAATTATCGTGCGTACTTGCCATAATCATTTAGTAAATGCTATTAAAAATAGTTTTGAAATATTTTTTTTTAATTTCATTTGTATTTACGTAACTGTTGCGTAAGATTGCGTTCTTTCATACTGCGAAAAAAATTTCCAACTATTGAATTTGAGTTTAAATTTAGGTTTTGATAAAAATTTTGCCTTGACTGCTTTGTTTATCGTGTTAAGTGTGAATTGTAAATGCAAATAAACTTAGAATTCCAAATCCAAATGACACTGAAGATGGTACGGCTGTTTGCTTTAATTGAAACTGGGCACACCTATAAACATGTTGCCCAAATATTACGAGGATCAAAATCTGTGGTACACCTAGTTGTCAAGAAGTATCGGCAGACCCGACAGTATACGAACCTCGCAGGACAGGGACACAAACGAAAAACTGTGGCCAGAAATTACCAGTTCATCGTTACCA